AAGCTATGTATTTTTCTTTTAGTCTGTACAGAATGGGTATGCCTTATTTTCAACATTTAGGATAACATGTGAAAGTATGCTCTACGATGAATCCTAAGGGTATTTGTTTGATAAATATAAATATCTAGATTTTTATATAAACTTGATCAAATTCATGATGGTTGGGGGCGGGGGCGCGGATGTATTAGATTTTCAGTTATTATTACTACAAGAGAAATCAATACTCCCTCAGAGTTTCTTGCACTGATTTATTTAATATCTTCATCTTCCCAAATTAGCAAGACACTAACGCTTCAGCAGTGCTAGTCACACGCAGCTGTCCAAAGAGTCAGCCTAGTGTACGTAGTGTGGATTGTCGAGTGAGGTGGGAGGGAGCTCACGCAATGGGGCGCTTTCCCCCGGCCTTTTGTGATTTTGTCCACTTTTTTTTTATGCCTCAACTCTTCGTTTACAAGTTGTACACCATAAGCACACAAACTCACAAACATATCTAGTACGCAAGCTAGACCTACACCTACACAAAGAGGTTGTACGTGGCTGAGAGATATCCGAAGTCTTTCAGGCTTCGCACGTGACGGGCACGTCACTCTGACCATGGTGACGCATCCACCCACAAACTCACATATCTTAGTGCGCAAGCTAGACCTATACTTACACGAAGAGACTGCGCGTGGCCGAGATATCCGAAGTCCAGGCTTCGCATGTGACGGGCATGTACGTGTGAGACTATGGATATACGAGACCTACAAAATTATTATTGAAGAAAAACCCGTGAGACACGGGGGTGTGGATCCCAAGGATCGAACTCATGTCAAGCCGTAGCACATCTGGGCCGGGTTTAGATTGGGGTTAGGAATAAGTATTTACCATTGTAGTATTTTTATTTGTATTTAATAATTATTGTTCAATCATAGCCTAACTAGGCTTAAAAAAATCGTCTCGTAATTTACAATCAAACTATGTAATTAGTTATTTTTTTATCTATATTTAATATTTTATATATATATCCAAAGATTTGATATGACAAAAAATAAGCGAAAAAAACTTACAATTTAAACAAGACCTGGCGAGCGAGCCAACCAAGCTACGCTCGCTCCTCAATTTTGTCCACCCTCTACTCCTCGCGTTTCTGCGGGCACCCGCCCTTGTCTTTTGCATTTTGTACACCCCAGCAAAAGCTACCCCGGGGCCCACCACCCAACGGGCAAGGCCCAAAGCAGACGACCACTGCAAAATGCTTTGCCAACCCTCTCCTTCTCCCCTATATACATATAACCTCAGTATCAAGATTAAAATAAAATACTTTTCATATACTCTAGCTATAAATCATTTTCTCTTTGGAAAAAATGTTCGTTGGTTAACATGTGGTCATAAGTGCATGGCCATCCTATCTACAAATGTAGTAAGTATTAATTCATAAGTTGTTATATACTAATATGCTAAATCATTTCCTGATGTCTTTTTCGGCTATGTCTGCCCAGTATGTGCAATCTTCACAACCAATAGTGAAGATGAGTCCTCACTACTTAGATGATCCTTGAATGTTGCGCTTCCTCTTCAAGCCCAAACATCCCTTTGCCTCAACCACACACGATGCTCTGCATGCATGTTGTTGTGTTTTGCACAAGACCAACAACCATGTCGCTGTCTATTTCATAGTGTAGTATTATTAATTCATTGTTCTCCTTCAGATAAGATACTTGCATAAGGAAAAGAACGAGATTATATGATTTCGACTTTTGAGCTTAGCTACCAACTAGAGGTCGGAGCCATATCCATATGGCAATTTATCTCTAAGACCATGATGGCAACTAATAATTAGCTGTTAAAATTAGTTGGGGTAGATCCAAATAGGCCCAACTAATTGTGGCGGGCACCCTTCTAACAAATAATGGTATCTTTGGCACCGCTTCTCGCGGCTCCGGCTCCTCTTACGCTAGCACTTAGTAGCACTGTTCACAAGAGGCGTTTTTCTCCCTCATAGCAAAATGAACATAGAGCCAGGAGAACTCGTAATTTGTTGCTCCTTTGGTGCTGTAGCTCGAAATCAGGGGCTGAATAAAAGGAGTCTGGCCAAACGAGACCTAAAGATTATAAAAAGACACTTTTGTCCTTCTACATACCTCTGTCTACATGCTCTACCAATAACCTATACAATGTTATTAAGATACTTATAAACAAAAACATCAATACATTCATCTTTTAGTTCTTAATCCAAAGAATACGCAACCAACTAAATATAGTTAGCTAGCTAGCTAATATCAACTCTACGGTGAGTCCAAAGAGTGCCTTACGGTGGACAAGTGGGCAGTGGCCTGTGCCCGTAGCAATTAGGGGCTATCCCGGCATTGTAGGGCCCACAAGTCAGGATCGCAGGAGGCGAAAGCTTCCTACACTGGCCTGCACGCATACCTAGAACTCCTCTCAGCTCAGATAATAGCAACAGCTCCTTTCCTCTCTCTCAAGGTGTCTCTCCCAAAACGCACGCCCACGCACAGCACAGCACAGCACAGCACAGTCGCAGAGCCAGGGTCAGGAAACCACCACCAGCGCAGCGCAGCGATGAGAGGAGGAGCGGGGCCCACGGCGGCGTTCATATCCGGCGAGCCGCCTCCAGCCGCCGCGGAGGAGGTGGAGGAGAACTCCGGCGGCGAGGAGGAGGACGAGGAGGCGGTGGTGGGTCAGGACGACGACGAGCTGGAGCTGGGGCTCTGCCTCGGCTCCAAGAAGCAGCAGCAGCAGCAGCCGGCGCCGGCGCCGGCGCCGTGCCGGATCCTCACGGCCCGGGACCTGCAGCCGGGGTCCCTGTCGCCGGATTCCTCCGTGTCCTCCTCCTCCCCCGCGGCAGGTGCAGGTGCCGCGGCGCCCAGCAAGAGGGCCAAGGCGGATGCGGCGCCCAACGCCACCACCTCGCCGGGGACGGTCGCTTCTGGCCATCCACAGAGGTGAGCAGCAAGAGCAACTTCCTTTGCACTGCACGCTTCTGCTTCTTCCTTGCCTATGCTGCTATGCAGAACAACAGCTCCAAGCATGCGTCTTTTATTTCTATATAACATCAGGGGAAAAAGTTCAGAACTCTATCAGTATAAGTGCCTCCTCGTCTGCTTGTTGTTAGGATCATAGAATGATTCGTCGCCGTGCATTTGCACCTAATTTGTTCCGAAAAAAGAAACCTTCTTTCTTGTTTATGCACAGACATCTCCTAAGACTAATGTTTTTCCCTGGCGAAGCTGCCTAATTTGCACGGCTTCCGTTATTAAATCTACTCTTTTTTTTTACCATGAGCATCCTGCAAACTCTGAGACAGTAAAAAGGAGACTTTTAGTTTGTTGCATACTTGCATTGCCCTTCAGATCTGCAACCACCAAAATTTTCTTGACAAGAAAAGTATCCTAGTATCATGTCTTCTTGGTTCAAAAAGAATGCCATTTCCTTGCTTGCCGAGCTACGTACAAGTATGCTTTCAACTAATCGTGACTGCATTTTCCGGTTTGGTAGCAGCTTTGGAGTGGTGGGATGGCCACCCATAAGAACTTTCAGGATGAACAGCCTATTTAACCAGGCCAAAGAAAATGCCTCTGAGGCTGGCACAAAGAAGCCCGCTGCTGAAGCTGACATGCAGGAAGACAAGGAGGAGAGCAAGAAAGGACGGGTCGTTGGTTGGGTGAAGGTGAACATGGAAGGAGATATCATTGGAAGGAAGGTGGATCTCAACGCCCATGGATCCTACAAGACCCTTGCCTCAGCACTTGAACTCATGTTCATGAAGCCGTCCATCGGTCTTTGCACTTCTAGTAAGTCATAATCTGATCTTTTACTTTCACTATATATAGTAGAACCTAGTGCATATTCTGATCATGTCAACCTATATGCTGTGGAGCTTTTCTATATTTTGTCCCTTTTTTCCGATTACCGTCATCAAGTGTACAATTTCTACAAACGGTAACGCTGAAATGAATTGAAAACACTGAGTACTATCCACTTGATGGGTCAATCCGATGCTCTACTGCATCAGGGTCTATGGTGCCATAGTTATGGCACCGGGGATGTATACTTTTGTATATACTTAGGACGCAATGCTGTTCTAGTATAGTTTCATACGTTTGTGAGGATACCTTTTCTGCTCATTTCTGACCCTGATCTCTATTGATCATGAAAATTATCAGGTAGTTCAAAGTCTCTTAAGCTATTGGACAACTCATCGGAGTATCAGCTCACCTATGAGGACAGGGATGGGGACTGGATGCTTGTTGGAGATGTTCCCTGGGAGTAAGTCCCCTGCACTATGTTAGCAATCAGAAGTTGAACAGGAGACCGTTTTTGAAGTGTCATGGAATGGTTCTTTCGGATGGCTTATTGTTTTACTCTGCACTTCCGCAGGATGTTTGTAGGTTCAGTGAAGAGACTCAAGATCATGAGGACTTCAGATGCCAATGGTCTCGGTTAGTTCCTTCTCTCATACTTCTTCAGCCCAGATATAGTTGATTCCAGAGGTTTAAGGCATGCCGGTTATCCATTGAGAAGCTGGATTTATAGCGCTGTTATTACCTATTAGTCAGCATCATGAATTTTGGTTCTACCATGTTTGACGCCAAAATTTCCAAAAATAAAAACTCTACTGCAGGTCCACGATTCCAAGGGGCTCACAGACCTACAGCAGCTTACACAAGGGGCAGGACTTGAAAACCACCGATGGGTGTTTGGAGCTAGAGAGCTATACCGCTGGTGAAGCTTGAACTGTGTTTGATACACGTAACAGCAGCCCATATCTTTGGCATAGTTGTGAGATTACTTGTGTCTAGTGGAAATAGTAGAAGTATTTTTTTCTTCTTCCTCCTTTTGGTGCCCTCGTTGAGCTTTTCTCATGGGCTATGACTGAGCATAGCCCCCATCGCTTCTGTCCACACTGTTTTTACCTGTGAGGCATGGTCGCCCAAAGTGTCGGTTTTTATCCTTCTGTTTGCTGTAGCAAAAGTATCAGTACTGTTTCATATTTGTGTTCATATCTGAATTCCCAGTTGCCGCACAGTGTTTGTGCTAATTGCTGTGATCTGCAATGCAACGCCAACCACCCGGGTGTTTGGGGGGACAAAATGTGGATGTTTGAGACCAGTGCAGTGCTGCTGATGGCTCACTTTGCTGTTGTCCGTGGCTGTGCCTGAGAGTGCCTCTGAACCTAACCTCGTGAATGGACAAATCCGACGGCACATTTGAACAGCACCCCCAAAAGCGACGTTACCCGTGCCATGGAGCACGCAGATCGCGTGATCAGCACTGCAAGGGCTTCCTTCTTCAGAAAGTGTCTGGACATGAAAATTCCTGCAAGCACCAGCCAACAGCATGAGCTGCTGATACAGCAGAGGATCACACTCCAGAAATCTTTGCAGCACAACGAGTAAGAATTATTGTCATCCAGGGTCCCAAACAAATCTCTATGCTCGCAGGCAACAATCCAGAATTGATTGGTCCAAAATCTGAATTTGAAACGCAGAATACACACAGGACAGACAGACTAGTATTTGTGACCACTAGGTGGGTTCACAAGGAAAATGTTTGGAACACAGCAACACGACTGGGACGCCCAGAATACACAAATCATGGATATAGTTTCGTGAAATCAAGTCACTGGAGAGGCCTAAACTCCATCCGGATGAATGCGGAATCCCTCCCTGCTACTCAATCTGCATGCCGTAGGCTGTACCATATTCACCTGTATGATTCGGTGCGTTTGGGCTTGCTTTGGACCACCGCCTCAATCCTGTCGAGAACCTCCGGCGTCAGCAGTGGAATGACATCTAGAGCCTTCATGTTCTCCACGATCTGTTCATGCGGTTTGCCAAATGGGTCAGAGTATTCCTTACCATGTAGACATGCTTGCTTAGAGCAGTAGAGATCCTCTGAAGAACACGAGTTTGGAAAATGTACCTGGCTTTCTTTGGTGGCTCCAGTGATCACAGATGAGACATTGGGGTTTGATGCACACCAAGCAATTGAGAGTTGAGCTAACGAAACGCCAAGTTCAGCGGCGATAGGTTTTAGCCCATTCACTTTTCGAAGTGTGTCGTCAAGCAGGGACCTATTCGCCAGGTTCTGGAAACCCAAGGCAAGGAACGGATTAGCTATAAAATACTCAGAAGAAATAACAACAAAATAAAGATATGTTAGGTTATACATAACAAACAGATAAAACAGAACTGAAACCAGTAGCTGCTACAAAGTAAAGTTAATTCCTGCAAAGATATGCTAGGTTATACATTGATTATGCAGTGTGCCACCTGCGATCTGCCGATCATAAGCTCATGTCTAATGATTATGATACATTAGCAATGCAGTTGAACACTGGTGTTGCTTAACGAAAATTGGTAATTTTGCTATTTTAGTTGTTATCTCCACAGAAGCAATTGTCGAAGTGGAATTGTAGAACAGAATGTGATACGATGATTCTGGTATGGTTTCTCTTGGCTCTTTGGTTCATTTGGGGGATTGCATCCTGAAAGGTGGTGGTATTCTAAATTACTACTCCCTCTGTCCGTATGCAAGGCGTAACCACTTTTTATTCAAGTCCTATAATAAGGCGTGCTCTTCACCTCTCTCCTCTGCACGGGCGTCCATCCATGCGGCATTCAAAGTTCTCCAATTGGCCTTCTTGCCTCCCTCCTCTCATGCATGCACGAGTCTCTCTCAATACTAGTACTACTGCATGTTGTGTACTAGTACTCGTTAGTTCGCGCGGCTGGCCGAGGAAGAGAGGAGAATTAAATGTGTTCCTTGATCAATGAACTAGAGACAGTTACGCCTTGTATACTAGGGCGGAGGGAGTAGTAGTTAAGAGAATGAGTACTGGCATAATATAAAAGGTTCCCCCAAATACCTTGTAATTGTCTAGGGCAAACCTGCTATCAGCAGGTACATTCCCTTTGCTATATTTGCCGGTTAGTACTCCTGAAGCTAGAGGACTCCATGTAGTCAAACCAATGCCATAGGTGCTGTAAAGTGGCATGAACTCAGACTCAACCTGCAGAAAAGTAGTGTGCTATTAGTTCTTGTAACATAAACTGCATGCATAGGATGATCTGTTTTAGTCTTTTAGACTTTTTTCTTTTCTTGAAATCATTCAAGAGCAAAGTGTTTATTATCGAACCATGGAATCTCAAATAGAATACATCCGGACAGAGAAGGAATATGATAGGATTACGGATCCTACCGCGTAGATCACGAAGTCTGTAGGGATGAGAGGGAGGTGGGGCAGGCTGGAAACCTCGCTGCCGGTGGCTGGACGCCGTGGTGGAGGATGGGCAGCTGCGGCTGTAGCCCTAACCCTTGCGTAGCTACAGGAACGGCGACACTGTTCACGCGTGAACAGTAGATGCGGCTAGGGTTAGGAACTCCCGGCTCCCAGGGGAAGCCGGAAACAATAGATTGTTTCTGCTTAATTATCCAAATGTCTTACAAGCCATATATATAGCTTTCACAAATAAGGGATATATCTAATAAATAGGCTAAATAATAGATAATATGGGCTGTTAGCCCCCTAATGCCGGCGCACAAGCTCAGCCACTAATGGGCCTCCGCCTGGTATATGTGACGCCGGTCATAACATCTCTCCCGCCACAAGTAAACAGCTCGTCCTCGAGCTGGAAGTCGGGAAGTGGTCGCTTGAACTCGTCGAGGGTTTCCCACGAAGCGCCGTCTTCGGGGGAGGCCGTACATTTGGATCAACACCTGCCACACACCACGGCGCTGAAGCGCACGAAGAGCCCGCGCTGGAGCAGGAAGCAGCCGGCCATCCATGACCGGAGGGAGACTGGTCGGGGTCATTGGAGGGTCGCCGCGGTGAGGCTTCAGGAGACCAACGTGGAAGACGTCGTGGATGCGGGCGTTCTCAGGCATTTGAGGCGGACGCGACACGGCCAATGCGTTTCAAAGACACAGAACGGACCAGCATAGCGAGGACCCAACTTGCGTTTAGCCTGCTGGTCGAGGGACTCGTGCGGTGCGGCGGTGGAGGCGCAACACACCCAATCGCCCACTGGAACTCCACATCGCGGTGGCGGCGCGCCGTAGTACTTCTTGGATAGTTGCTGCGCGCTAGGAGAGTCATTGGCGCACTTCTCGCAAAGCAGCTCATCGCGTCGCGGAGAAGGCTATCGACGGCGTCGGTCTCGCCGACCCCGCCCGTATGGCGAATAGGCGGAGGAGGGCGGCCAGACACCACCTCAAAGGGAGTCATCCGAAGGGCCGTGTGGAAGGAGGTATTGTAGCAATACTCGCCACGACGACGATCCACCCACGCCTTGGCGGTCAGGTCACTGTAATACAACGGAGATACATAGCAATCACCTTGTTGACCACCTCCGACGTGGCCGTCGATGCGAGGATGAAAGGCGGTGCTCATGCGAAGCTTGACGCGCGCCGCCATCGGAAGAGATCCCGATGGACATGGCGGTGAACACGGGTCCCGATCATCGACGATCGACGAAGGGAATCCGTGGAGCCGGACGACGTTGTCGAAGAAGGCGCGAGCGATGGAGGTAGCCGTGTAAAGGTGCCCAAGCGCAATAAAATGCGCGTGCTTGGAGAAGCGGTCGACGACGGTGAGGATGACGGATTTCCGCCAACCTTGGGCAGCCCTTCGATGAAATCCATGGAGATGTCTGACTTGGTGAGCACCTTCCGGCCGGAGCAGCCCGGCGGTTGGGATGCCTCCGTCTTTGTTTATGCACGTCATGCAAGTGCGCGCACTCGCCCTGGACTAGGGAGCGATCCACAGGATGTAGAAGTTGGCGCGAGAGGCGGTGGAGAGTCTTCAGACACCCTCATGTCACCGCATGGGCGGTGTAGGACTTGGTGGCGCAGTCACCGACGTCGGCTGAAGATACGCCGCCATGCAAAGAAGAACCCGGCGTCCAGGCGCCATGGCGCCGCTTAAGTCTCCGCGTCAAAGGACGTCGGAGTTAGCGCCGCGCGTCGGCGTTATTTATATGCGATGAAGAAGGCCGCGGACCGCATCCAGAAGGCGAAGGGCGGCCCGAGATGGCCTAGTTGCCGCGCTGCGTTCGCTGCGGCGTCCACGACCTCGGCGTCACGCCGACAAGGATCGTCGTCGACCACGGTGTTGAGGCGGCCCGGCGATATTCCACCGCCAAGTCGGTTTAAAAGCTTGCTTAGCCATCTTTGAGGAAGCGTGGACAAACATTTGGTCAAGCAAAATTTAAGACTGTAAATGATCAAGACGGACCAAAAAGTGACGCCCCACAAATTAATGACGAACGGCTTGCACCAAACCCGATGAGTTCGCTCATAAGCCGCAAGCTTGAGATGGCGGACAATGAAAGGCGGTACTGCAGATGGCGAGGGTCCAGCACACGGTGAAGGACGGCACCAAACCCCGCGCCTCCGACGCGTCGCAATCCACGATGAAAGAGCTGTCGAAGTCGCATCCGCAGGGGGGCCCCGTAGTGAGGGCGGTCTTGAGTGCCTCAAACGCCGTGGTCGCGTCGTCGTCCCAAGCAAACGCGTCTCGCCCGCAAGAGGCGATGTCGGTGCAAAGAATGATGCCGAAATCCTTAATGAACTTCCTATAGTAGCGGTGAGGCCTAGGAAGCCTCGGAGACCATGCAAGTGAGCATGGGGTTGGCCACGCATAAACCGGCCGCGACCTTGTCGCGGCCCATGGCCACTCAGGTCCTTGGAGATAACATGGCCTAAATAAGCCACAGACCTTGGCAACGAAGGAGCACTTGGAGCGCTTTGAGGTGGAGGTTGTGCGTCGCAGGCGTGGAGGACGATGTTGACATGTTGCGGTGTTCGGCCCGGGAGGAATCTGTAGATCAGGATGTCATACAAAAATACCAAAGATGCACACTGCGCAAATACGGCCGGAGGACATCGTTCATCAACGCCGGAAGGTAGCCGGAGCGTTGAGAGACCGAACGGCATCACCAAGAACTCGTAGTGGCCATGGTGCGTGCGAACGCCGTTTTTAGCGACGTCTGTCGGGTGCATGCATGCGCACTGGTGATAACCAGGCGCAAATCCGGCTTTGGTGAAGAAACGCGCACCATGGAGCTCATCAAGCGGCTCGTCCCACCTGGAATCGAAACTTGTCTTGGCGGTCTTGGCGTTGAGGGCACGATAGTCGGCTGAAGCGCCAGACTTGTCTTGTTTCCGCACAAGAAGAACGGGCGCGGAGAACGGCGAGGTGCTTTCGGTCGAATGATGCCTTGCGCGAGCATCTCCGCTGCCCGACGTTCAGCTCGTCTTCCGGAGAGGGGGGTTGCAGATGGCGCACGCCGCCTGCATGCACGCAGGCGGCAGGTGAATGCGGTGGTTGGGCTCGTCGAAGATGGCGCGCCGTCTTCTTTGAAGAAGGCACATCAATCAAAGCGGTGGCCGGTCGGCGGTGACCGCGGCCGCGGGGCCGAAGGCCGTATTCTTGCAGAGAGCGGTGGCGAGCCACCCACGCTTGCCAAGTGACGCGCCGACCGTCGCGCCGTAACGCCATGGTGAGGGCGGTGCGATCCCCACAAGATGGGTCCGGCCGTTCGAAGGAAGTCGAAACCGAGGATGAAGTCGAACCCGCCGAGGTCCGCACCAACGCACGTAATGATGAAGTCCTCGTCGGCCGATGCGGATGGGAACGGCGTGAAGCGATCCCATCAGAGCTAAGGCGGTCACCGTTAGCGCACCGTGACGCGAAGATCCTCGCCACCGGATGGAGAGAGCCCCAGACGGCGCATGGCGGCAGACCGGAGGAAGTTGTGCGTGGACCGGTGTCGAGGAGGCGAGGAAGCGCTCTCCTTGATGGTGACAGCACGAGCATGGAGTTTGCTTACCGATCCTCGCTTGCATGAAGAGAGATGACGAAAGCATTAGCCTGGGCCGAGCTCCGGGGCCGCCGGTTCCTCAAGTCTGGCGGCGCAGCTTAGCATCATCACCGCGATGTCGTCGATGAAGTCGTCAGACTCCACGTAGAACAAAGGTTTGGCGACGTGGCCGCGAACATAAGGCTCGTCACAATTGTGGCTTCGCCACCATCTCCGCCGGGTGAAGCGGCGGGAATCTGACAAGAAGAAAGCGCGCGATATTGCGGCCGATCACCGGAGGGGGCAAGACGCCCGGGATCGCTGGAGCCGCGCGCCCGCATGGGGAGGGGTTGTAGCTCGGCGTTGAGGGATTGTTGTTCGACCGAGGAGGGGCGCCGAACGCCACGCCTTTCGAACGCCCGAGCCGAGTACATGGCGATTGTAGGTCCGGCGGCGTGCGCATCTCCACATGCACTTTGATCTGTTCCTTGTAGCCCCCACGCATAACTCCGCCTTTTGTCGAGGGGAGAGGTCACGGCATGGCACAGACGGCGTTAGAAGCGATCGGAGTAGTCTTGCACGGTGGAGAGGAACGGCAGACGTGCTAACTCGGCCAAGCGAGTGCCAAGTGCATGCATACCGCCCAAAGCGGAGGGGAGCAGAGTTCGGGCGCCCCGAAGGCGGCATGCCCTCGCCTTGTTCTGTAGTATGTAGTACCATGTTTGTAGGCGCCCTTCATGTGATAGACCTTGAGCGAAAAAGGCTGCGAAGCCATCGTCTCATTGTCCTCGGAAGAATTGCTCACATTGGTTCAACCAATTGAGCGGGTCAATGAGCCATCATCACGTGGGGAACTCGAGTTTGTAGAACTTGGGAGCACTGGCGCCTGCGGACCGATCCGCATTGTGGGTGCCCCGGGAGGGAGGCGTCGACCCCGGAGAGGACTGGACGCTGATCCTTGGCGGGCGTGCGTGCTTGGGTGGTACCAGTGGTGGCGAAGACCGAGGAGCGGCCGAGCCCATCACCCATCCGAATCGGGCCGATGAAGCTTTGGCCAAATGAAAAGATTGAGCGGCACCCCGGGCTCGAGACCAAGCATCCCGTAAGGGAAACTCAAGGGCGGAAGCAGTGGTTTGGGAGCTCACGCCAGTAACCCAGTGGATAATGGCGGCGGCCGAGAACGACGGTGAGGGTGGCTGACGAGGCGAAGTCCACCACGCCGCTTTGCATGGACGCGATGTTGCGGTTGATGTCGATGATCGCAGATGCCAAGGACTCGGCGTGGAGCGGCGCAGCAGACAATGACGAGCCATCCGAGACCTCGGAGGCCATGATTGGAGCGCGGCGGTGGAGGTAGATGGTGGTGGTGGGAAGGAGGAGGTCGGCCGAGATTGCGACATCGTTCGAAAGCGGCCCGATACTGACCGATAGGATTACGGATCCTACCACGTAGATCATGAAGTCTGAGGGATGAGAGGGAGGTGGGGCGGTGGAAACCTCGGTTGCCGGTGGGCTGGACGCCGTGGTGGAGGATGGGCAGCTCGGGCTGTAGCCCCAACCTCGGCGTAGCTACAGGAACGGCGACACTGTTCACGCGTGAACAGTAGATGCTGACTTAGGTTAGGAACTCCGGCTACTGGGGGAAGCCGGAAACAATAGATTGTTTTCGCTTAATTATCCAAATGTCTTACAAGCCATATATATAGCTTTCACAAATAAGGGATATATCTAATAAATAGGCTAAATAATAGATAATATGGGCTGTTAGCCCCCTAATGCCGGCGCACAAGCTCAGCCACTAATGGGCCTCCGCCTGGTATATGTGACGCCGGTCATAACAGAATATCACAGACACAAATAAACATGAATGATTCTAGTCACGCAAAATGGCAGTTCCCTACCAGAAAGTCTCTTAGGCATGCAACAAACTGTATCTGAATCACTAGAGACTGAAGGAAAATCATATGGCGCCCTCGTTCTAAAATACCATGTTACAATGTTTCAAAAACCATGTATGTAGTATACCTAGAGTTAAGTGTAGCCACAACAATTCAGTTTGAAATTCATCTTTGATGCTGAGATTAAAAAAACAGAAGTGTCACTGTCAACACATGATGAACAGTGCCAGGTTGACTGCTTGTCTATTTTGATTCTTGGCATCTAGGATGAATTTCAAACTGATATATGTGTACTACATCCATGGTTTTTGTGATGATTTTAGCTAACAAGGGCGCCAATCCCCCTGGGCACCAAATCTGCAAACATAGACTGAAATTAAGCAATATTGTATAACACTAAAGGCAAACCTGACTATTTCAAGCTCTTGTTTTTAAAAAAAAATATATATGCTCACTGAATTTTGACATAAAATGGACATGGAAGATGAGGAATCCAAGTCAAGTTATGAAATAATATAACTGAAGGATGAGGAATATCCCAAGTCAAATGTACCTAAATGCCATGTGCCATGACTCACAAAACATGTAAACTAAGATGTTAGGATACCCTAGACACTCAAGATGCAGATTGAATCTCCTCCTCTTTTTTTTCCTGAATCGAGGCTGTCCCCCATTTCCATTAACAAAAACAGAAATACAAGCAATCGACAGAGAACGGAGTTAGACTAGGAAGCAGACAAGCAGATAAGACGCATGGGAATCCTAAATTAGGAGCTCCTCTGAAAGGTAAACTACATAACTTGCTGTTTCAATTTCTGTAAAAAAAAATCATGTTTCATTTGGATCTACCATAGGTAATGCAGTTTAATATCCCAGGTTGCCATAATTATTCAGGTATCGACCAAGAAAAAAACCTTGCAGTAATAGGCTAATAGCTACCCGCTACCTTGTACCATTAACCACAGCCAATTGACCAAACTTTTTTTTTTGTTTGGTTCCATCCTGAACTTTGTAACACTTCTACATCCTAGCTGCATCACTTCAGTGTAGTAAGAGTTAAAATCAAACTCCAACTTGCCAAGGCAACTTGCATGACTTATAATAATCTTGTGTAGTGAGCTCCTAACCTGGAATGAGCAACCACCGCCGACTAATTGAATGCAACATTGACAGTGATAGGTTGGTGGCTTCAGTTTGATAGTGAGTTCAGACCAATAATAAAATTGCTCGACTAAAACTAAACATCAAGCTGAGTTTCTATTGTTGGGAAAAAAATCCCTTCCAGTCTTGCACTAAGCTGTCCATAGCATGGTGCTAGACCAAACCTTTCACCATCAGCATTTGCTGTCTTGTGCCTGGGATCCTACATGGCGCAAAGGCATACACGACAATGCATGGCTTTCATCGCTGTCTAGTTTGGTAGCTACACTATTCCTGGAGCTGTAGGTTACATCAAGAAAGATCAGTTTTTTTAAAGAAGTAATTACACTCCTGGATACGAATTGATAATTACATCATACTATCTGCCTATCTGGACGCTGAGAAAGGGGATACGTCATCATCATTGGAACAAACCAATCCTCTCATGAGCAAACGAAGCCAGGTAGGTCGCTGATGGAGAAAAATAGATCTACTTTGCATCATCAAAGGGAGAATAAAAGGCAAGAAGAACCATTATTCCGTGATCCGACCCACACAGACAATGTACGATGCTGACATTACTTCACAGGAGCCGAAATCGTACAGAACTAGAATTAAACCAAGCAAACCTGCCCTTCGCATGCATTTCAACAGTCCTGTGCTCCCGGACATGGAAAAAACTGCCGCCACTGCTCCAGAGTCAAAGATCCGGAGAGTACGGCTAACTGAATAATACTACTATACAATACTGAAGAGAAGTACTAACAGTTTAATTAGGAGGAAGTAATAGGCCATCTGGGATTCGCAAGTGCGGGTGAACAGCGTCGCAAGTACCAAACCAAGGCGTGAAATCCACCTCGGGGATAGGATAGGATAGGATTGTATCGTACGGGAGAGAGGTGCCGCCGCCGCAGCAGCAGCATGATCTGCGGGCGAATCGGGTTCGAGACTTGGGAGAGAATGAACAGCGATCTAGACCTCACCTTGTGCCTGGAGAAGAGGTTGTACTCCGGCTGCTCGACGATGGGTCCGACGAGGTCGAGGCGGTTGGCGACGGCCCAGGCCTCGGTGATCTGCTGCGCGGACCACTCGGAGGTGCCCCAGTAGAAGGCCCATCCCTGGTCGATGACCCAGTTCATGGCGCGCACCGTCTCCTCGACGGGCGTGGAGGCGTCGGGGCGGTGGCAGTAGACGACGTCGACGTAGTCCATGTCGAGGCGGCGGAGCGAGCCGCGGAGGCCCTCGACGATGTGCTTCCGGGAGAGGCCCTTGTCGTTGGGGCCCTGGCCGCCCCAGAAGAGCTTGGTGGAGATGACGACGTCGGAGCGGCGCCAGCCCAGGTCCCGGATGGCCTGCCCCATGATCTCCTCGGCGCGCCCGTTGGCGTACACCTCGGCGTTGTCGAAGAAGTTGACGCCCACGTCCCGGCACGCCTGCAGCAGCGCCTTGGCCTCCTTCACGTCCAGCTGGTTGCCGAAGGTCACCCACGCGCCGTACGAGAGCTGGCTCACGCGGAGCCCCGACCGGCCCAGGTTCTTGTACTGCATTCTGCCCTGCCCTTAGCCTTCCTGGTTCCTCGCCTGGCGATCTGCGCGGAGGAGGCGGGGAGGAGGAGGGCCCGAGGGGAGACGAAGCGCAACTGAACAGGGGAGGGGAGGGGAGGGGAGGCGAGGACGAGTTGGAAGGCTGGAAGGCCGGCTGCGGGCTGCGGCTGCTCATTTCTACTGGACCGGACCTGGACGGCGACACCGCCGTCGGACAGGTGGACCAGGCTGTACGGGGCCCACCTGCCAGCGGCACTTAGGGGGAACCGTTGTCACGTGGGGTGTGTGGGGAGTGGTGTGGTGGTGTGTGGTCCCCTGCCCCCCGATCATTCAGAGAGGCGCGGCCTGCCTGACACTGACATGTGGGGTAGAACGCTCAATGACACTGGAGTCGAGAACGACCCCCACGTCCCCGGCGACCTGGACGGTAACGACGCCATTGCCGGCCTGCCGGCCGGGCGGCCGCCCTGCCGGCCGGGCGGCCGCCCTGCGACCGTGACTCCTCGGCCTGGTGGTTTCTGCTGGCGGCGTGTAGCAATCCCTTTTTTTTTGCGACTTGCGTGTAGCAATCCATGGATGCGAGTGAATTGGACCATCTCGTGGAGTGGTACGCTGGTGCTCCCTTCGTCCTATATAAAGCGTAACCCCCTTGATTCAAACCCTTCTCTCTTAACACCATTATTACTGTATCGATGTGCTTTATATTATGGGACTTTGACAAAAAAAATAGTTATGTCTTATATATTAAGACAGAGGTAGTAGTATTTTGTATTGACTCCGTCTTAAGGTCATGTTTGGATGCTAGGCAGCTGAGCACCAGGCAGCCATTCTGGCCTGATACGAGAAAATCGAGCGCCTAGGAGCACTTGTATGTGCCTGGCATGCTTCCCAGTATAGCATCCAAACATGCCCTAAGGGCTTGTTTGGTTACTATACTGGCCTGGGGAGGCCTGGCCAGGCAGCTCGCTCAGCCGCAGACGTAGGAAAATGAACGCATGAGATCCTTGCCTGGCGCAGGCAACTTTTCCAGGTTACAAAGCAAACACGCCCTAAAAGCATGAAATGAAATTCCATAGTACTCCATCCAATCCATTTTATTAGATATAGGGCCTGTTTGGTATGGCTCCGGACCTGCTAGTAGTAAGGCCTACCAAATACTTTAGAAGGAGAAGCCACTTTTTGGTGAACAAATAGTGGATCTGGACCACTGGAGCTGTTTTTTTTTCCCGGGAGCCCTACTAAACATGCCCATCATTTACCATGACACGGTATTTCAAGCTATATTTTAATCATTTCATTTATTTTATAGTATATTTTTTCTAACTTATGATCACTAGATAGATAGTGTATTTGATTCTAAATCTAACCGTACAAATGTTTTATAATTATATTTAAAAATTGTTAACCTAAATTGATCAAAGACCCTAAAGTTTAAATCTTGATATGCATATATTGGAGCATTGTTCACTAGAGTCAAACTCTCTTAAGTTAACTAAATTTGTGTAAAAACACTGATACTTATTATACTAAATACACCGTTCATTCCAAACTACTCGAAGCCATTTTGATTTATCTAGATATGTAGTTTTTACTGGCCCTGTTCGCTTCGCTGAAAAGCCAGGTTGAAAAATACTATTCGCTGATTTATTGTAAGAGAAAAATATTGTACCATGACAGATAAGTTCAAACGAACAGGGATGTTTCATAAACTGAGTATATCCAGATATATATTTAAAGCTATGTATATATAGAAAACAAAACGACTTACAATGCAGAATGGATGATATTTAGATACTATTAGATTCATAATGATATATTTCCATATTGTTTCTACTTAATCCATTAGCTAGAGTTAAAACGATTGAACTCGAATCAAACATAGGATCGCACTTTTTTTTTGACATCGAAAGGGGAAAAAAATTCTAAACGAATCAATCACGTTCATGTACGTCAGCGGTGACGGGGCCTTGGAATTGAATGAATGGATCCAATCCAAATCCAAATCCAAAGATCCGATGCCTGCGCCCCCTTGCGCATGTGATGCGTGGGCTTGTTTTTTATCTCTTTGCGTGAATATACAGGCAAGCAGCAGCCGAAACAGTTCCGGTCAGGATACGTTTGTTTCGCTGTGGCTCGTCGTAAATGATCGTAAATTTTAGTTGGAATAATATTTTTCTCTCACACAAACCAGTCAGCAGTACTTCTTCATAAATCAACAACGATATAAACCAGCGAACCGAACAGGCTGTAAGCCAAAACGAACAGGTGCTCAGTGTGACAGTGTCATGCCCGGACCCGAGACCCGGACGGACGGATCTAGCAGGCGGGTGCTCGGCTGCTCGCATCTGCAGTTCTCCAATGCTGTGTGCTGTCTGTGCACAGTGGCCACGTGTGAGTCGTGACAGATCCAAATCCGATGCGACCACGGACGCGAAGAAGCGAATAGGATGCTGCTGGATCTGGATGCACGCAGCCTAGGTCACTGAACTCGATTTTAGATGGAATCCAGCCCTGGACGTGCCTATCCGATGAGCAGGAGACATACAGGGCGTGTTTGGTTTACTGTTTAGTTGTAGTCTGGTTAAGATTGTAGTTTGGTTAGGCTAAGTCTGGTCAAGCAAATCAACATGAGGTGTGATTGGTTGTCTGTGCTGTCTAAAGCCTGACTAGCCTCATAGCGTGTTTGGTTGTATGGTTTATTTTGATACAGTCACCTCGTTCTTTGAATGGGTAAGTTTACACTCTTCGAGGGATTTCGTCGAGCATGTGGTGGACATCCTCGGCATAGGATCCAAAATCTGTACAAAAGTCGAAGCAAACACAAAACATCCAATGTCAGCATGCTCTTCCACGACATGGGTCTGCACCTAAGCAGGTCGAGCAAGGCGAGCAGCAGGGCAAGCACGACGATCACGGCAGAGCCGCCGAGCCGCTGTTCGAGTCTCCGTGACAGAGCACGGCCACCACGACGATCGCTGTTCGAGCACGGCCACCACGACGAGCGCGACAGACGCTGTTCGAGCACGGCAGAGCACGGCCGCCGACATCTCAAGTCGCAGGCCACCGCGCGAGCCCGCCGCCGAGCGCCGCGTCAGTTCGCCGAGCGCCAGCGGAGAAGGGAGTGGTGCGCGGGAAGGGCCGCCGGAGACGCGCGGGGAGTCACCCTCGGTGAGCACGACAGCACCTCGGTGAGCACGACACAGGCAGCAGCAAGGCGAGCAGGAGCTCCGCCACGCGTGACGACGCACTGCTCTAGGCCCACGCGCCGCTCCACCCGCCGAAGGCCTCCTCCTCCTCCGCCGGGAGCTCGTCGAATCTGGCGCATGTGGTCCTCCGCGTGGTACGGCCTCCGCGCGGGAGGGTGGAGCAGCCTCACCATGGTGGAGCACCTCGACTCCAACGAGGCTGCTCACATTCTTCTCCGGCGACGAAGAAGCGCGGCGTTGCTCCTGACTGTGCTGCAACTGTACGGGCGCGTCGCTCCTGACTGAGCTGAGGTGTCACTGCTGTGCACACCACCAAGAGCTTGTTTTCGCTCATGCTTTTCCATGCACACGACCCACAGCCATGGGCCGAGGGAGGTTGAGTTGCGATTTGCCGGACTGTTGCCACCTTTTGCGGGCCGACATTTTGGTTATCACGTGACTCATGTCTGTTGGTTTTTTTTTGCTCGCCCCAACACACACACACACCAGCTGACCTGGTTTACATTACATGTGGTGGTGTCGTGGTGATCTCTTGCCAAATAAGGCGCCGTTTTTTTTCTTCTAAATTCTAAAAAAAAATAAGGGGCCATTTGGAAGGATGAAACGTTTCGAATTCTTGCCTGGAACCCAAGAATCAATGCCAAACAGCTAATTAGTGAAACGTTTCAGGTAGAAATGGCTCCAAGCGATTTAGGTTTCATGCCTACGAATGTGAATCGGTAAAAACGTGGTTTCGCAGTGATTCTGATTCTGCAGCCAAATGGTATAGTGATTCTAATTCGCTGGCCCTGTTTGTTTCACTAAAATTTGGCTTATGCTGATTTGTTGTGAGAGGAAAACACTTACTGAAAAGTACTGCTAAAGTAGTTCAAGCGAACAATGCCACTATCTGAAACATTTCTTTAGATAATCTGGATCTCAAACAATTCTACGAGAATTTAGATCCCTACCGAATGGCACCTAAATAAAGAGGCATACAGTACATGGAATCTGAAAAATGTAGTGGGCAAAAGCGTCCGGAGAATTAACAATAATAGACGTGATGATGGTGTTACCAACAATCTATCTTGGTAACATCATAGCTCAGTGAGTGGAGCACAAAACAAAGTGTACGTGGGGACTGTGGAGAAGGGAACAGAGTGACCAAGACAAGACGAAGCGAAGAAGGCATGCCAAGAATCAGCTAAGCTAATCCTTGTGCCCTTGTTGGGCCCTCTCCCTCTCCTGTGGGCGTTGCGCGAGGAATGAACCGGTGGGCAGCCTGTGGGCCCTCGCTGCTGCCATTGGTGTGGTGGGCCGTGCCCTTGCCCGTGCCCGTGCCCGTGCCCGTCCTCTAGCCGAGCCTGCCTTGTTGTCTGCAACAAATGAAAGCAAGCAAAGGCACAACAAGGCAGAGGCAGCCCTATAACGGCCTACTACCTGTAGAGTAGTATAGCGGGGGTGGAGTGGTGGTAGTATGCCTATGGTATATGGTAGCATTTCCCTTGGCCTCCACTCCACCTCTCCTCTCGACTTCTCTCCTGCGCTGCGCTACCGCCCAGAGGCAGGGGAAGGGGAGCGTCGACCAATTCGTCCCGCCCACGCCGCGCCGCTGGCCTCGCGTTCCCTCCCGATGGCGGCGGCGGCGATCCACCAGTTCGCCGAGTGCATCACCTGCCACGCCTGGAGCCCCGACCAGTCGAGTGAGACAAACGCCCTCCCCCTCCTCCCCGTCCTCCGCTCTAGATCTCCGCTCGTCGGTTCCGATCCCCAGTCGCCGCGCGCATGGCGTAGCTCGTCCGCAGGTTAGCGCGCGTGGGGTGCTCGGGATCGGGTTCCTTAGGGTTTCGGTTCGGTACCGCCCTCTCGCGTCCTCGGGGATCAAATGCTCGCTCTGACTGGCGCCCTAAGGGCTGTTCCGTTGGACACCTGGATATCGGACTATATCGCATCGCCGGGGGCATCAATCCTCCTGCCGTGCTTCTCACCATCCTCGCTTTTCGCTTGCTCGGGCTTGTGGTGCCACCTTGGGTATTTAAATTGCGCTTGGCTTCGATACGATCCAAACCCAAGCCGAAATGTCAGTCGAAACGAAAATTCGACGGGTTCGGTTCACGGTGCCTAGGCGGCTAGTGGTATGCCAGAACATGGCTGCGGAGTGCTACCTCCTGCGCTGGTTTGCAATTATGGGTTATCAATCAATGTGTCTTCATCCATGGACCATCCTGACAACCAGGGCTGGTCTTGGCATCAATGTTCATAAAAGGTGAAATGGACCGGTGTTTGCTCCAGGTGCCTTCTGGACACACCCTTCCATTAACTTTTTGCCCTGGTATAACCCCATTTTGCTAATAGGGGAGCATGCCAAAATAATACCAGTTCTAAACTAGCCATGATATTTACTTCAATGCCAACGTACTCTTTTAGAATCCTGCAAGTTACTTCAAATGGCTGAGTAAATCAAGGGACCCCTGACTCCTTATACGATGACAATAGTCTTGTAGGAAATTAGATCATGGGATTCATGATTGTATTAAGTATTTAGTTTTTCAAATGGGTGATTAAATCATGTCTTTCCACTACTATCGAGTTGCTTCTGATGTATAGGAGGCTGTCATTTCAATTGTTTGTAGGAAATATACCCCAAAACAGAGGATGGTGTCTGCTTGCAATGGCAAAAGGCCTAGTGGAATTTAAGAACAAAGCATCGCTAGCTTTCTGATTCTGCTAAACATACATGATATTCTGTTTTTTTAATTGTTATTATTATCTTGCATTTGAACCCATCAAGGAGTTTGATCTTGAATTTGACAGGAAAAATTTTCTTCTCTTTCAGTGATTGCCTTTTGTCCAAACAACCATGAAGTACATATCTACAAATTCTTCACAGACAAGTGGGAGAAACTTCATGTTCTGTCAAAGGTAGATAAACATTCTTTCTGTACCACGGCCTAATTAGAATGCAAATCATTGGCTTATTTCTATTGATATTTTGCAGCATGATCAAATAGTTTCGGGAATAGACTGGAGTAAATCATCCAACAAAATTGTAACAGTTTCACATGATAGAAATTCGTAAGTATACGTCAAAGTGCAGATTTCTAGAAGATTTGTGTTGCTTCTTACTCTGGCAGTGGATATATGGGTGCTTATTTTTTTTTATTTGGCCTCAGATATGTTTGGACACAAGAAGGATCTGATTGGGTACCTACCCTGGTTATTCTAAAGTTAAATCGTGCAGCTTTATGTGTTCAGTGGAGCCCAAAAGGTTAGTTAATTCCCTTCCTATTTCTGTCACATCTGTACATTTTCTCACTCTACTGGTGAAATGAAACGATTATCCAAGTGCACATGCTCTCCTAGTTTTCATTGCATACACAGTATGAGACTTAAGTTTGATGATAGCTCAGACCACACCTAAATTCTGTAATGCTAATATATTTGTCCTGTGATGCAAACATATGAAACCTCAGGTCTAGAGTTTGTATGCTAAAATCAAGACTCGCGAGACTTTTTTTTCTAGAATAGGAAGAAAACATCTCAACCAAACAACTCAGCTGTACCCACATTTCTGGAGCTAGTAATACCAGCTGATTTCTTCGAGCTGGAGCTCTGCCAAACAGGGCGTTAGGTGCCTTAGCTATTCAGATTATCTTAGCACACTTCACACTTTGTTGGAACACCATGCTGTACATGTTGAAAGAATGTAATTACTTGTGAGCTAAACATGTGAAGAAAAAACTTGTTGAGTATGGTTTTTGTTGTTTATTTTTTTATAAGTAGGTATGATCTGTTTCCTTAAATCTCTTTATGTATTGTTTGCAGAAAACAAGTTCGCCGTGGGAAGTGGTGCCAAATCTGTGTGTGTTTGCTACTATGAACAAGAAAACAACTGGTATTTAACCCCAGTTCACCACCCCTCTTTCATCAATTGACTACCATTTTTTGGATGACCTTAGTTATCCATTATTCTGTGTTGCATGTCCCAATAAGTGATTGATGAGTCATGAGTACGAGTCATTGAGCATGTTTTATATTGATTAGTTCTTATAGTTAGTGTGGTTAATCTGACACTCTTGATACACATCTTTAACTGTCTTATATCCTACACTGTGCTACAGGTGGATTAGCAAGGTTATCAGGAAAAGGCATGAATCTTCTGTCACTAGTCTTGCATGGCATCCAAACAATGTGAGTCTAAAGTAATGAGAGGCTTCAGTAGGAAACTAACAACAAAATCATTTTTGTTGTGTTCTCAATATGTTTTTTGTTGGCACCGTATTCCCGCCATTTATGAAAACCCCCATCTATACCATTAAAGATATTGGATGACATGATGCAGTTCTTTTTGTTGTAAATTTTCTCTATATGTATGCCACTATGTAGGAACTGGTATTGTCATGTAGATGCAGGCGCAAGACCTGTTCCCATTGAATGTGACACTAGTTTGTTTGCTATTGTATTTCTTCAGATATATCTTGCAACAACGTCTACGGATGGTAAATGCAGAGTGTTCTCTACTTTTATCAAGGGTGTAGACAAAAGGTGGAACACATTGGTCTTACATCTATTAGGAATCTAAAATCTTCAAAACGCTTTATTTGTCTCATACCCTTTTTCCACTTCTGACCAGGGGATCACAATCGAGCACTTCAACTGATTCAAAATTCGGAGAGGTATTTTATTAACCCATCCATTTGATATTGTGCCATCTGTTTGATTGTAACTTCAATTTTTATTGGCGTTTGTACTTTTGCAATGTTCAGATATGTTTCCCCATTTATCTGTCGCAACACTTACTAAGCATGACATGCAACTGAACATCTTTGAAGGCTAATACTTTTGGCAATAGTAACAAAATTTTCAAGTCTATTGACTATTGACGCACCTATACCATCTACTGTTGAAAAATAACACTCAATCTGTTCATGCACTGAGCTAAGCTTTAAACCTTATGCTAGTCACATAAAACGGGTTCACTACCTTCGACCCTCGACCTGGGTTCGTCAACCCCGACCCAGGTTCATGGGTTCATTTTTGACCCGAAGTGTAAAAATCTCTCGCAAGTAGCGTACCACGTTCCACGACCCCATACCTCAACCCCGTCGATCCAGAAACTTTGTGACAATGGCTGAGTTATTATTATTTTTGTGGAATGCTTGCTCAGATCCCTTCATTTGTCATAGGCTTAGTGCAAATCATGAGTAGCATATTATTTGTTTTCTTTCCCTGTGGAAGTGAGTATTCATCCTTGTAATATTTTTTCTCCTGTTTGGATGCAGCAAATTGCTCAGCTTGATCTATCGTCTACTTGGGTATTTGGTGTAAGGTGGTCACCAAGTGGGAAGACATTGGCCTATGCAGGTTCTTGTTCCTCTACCAAATTGTTATTGAGAGTGTCAAATCTGCATTGTTTCTACGACACCATTTGTTAGCATAACAACCATGCTGTTGCGCTGACATGTACGTTGATTACCAGGGCACAACTCCATGGTTTATTTCATCGACGAAGTCGAATCGTCTCCTGCAGCACAAAATTTGGCATTGCGTGATCTGCCTCTCCGTGATGTGGGTCAGCATTTTCCCTTCTAATACTATTTAATTGTGTGTCGTGATTTCTGTGTTTCATAATGTTGAACAACTGCTCAAACTTTCAGGTTCTTTTTGTCTCTGAGCGCACATTGGTTGGTGTCGGATTTGACTGCAATCCTATGATCTTTACTGCTGATGATACTGGGCTTTGGTAAGCAAAGATCCATATAGCAGCATTTTTCTTATATTGTTTATATTTCATTTCCCTTGTAGTCCTGAAGTGTTCCGAACTGAGTTGTTGCTTCCAGTAGAAACCATGTAAATTGCTATCCATACCTCAAATCTATTAATCCTTCTAACCTCAGTACCCTCGCAAAATATTCCATTGCTCTTTTTTTTTACTGAAATCCATTTCTACAGGATATGCAAGTCACTCCGATTTTCATTCATGACATCTAAGCCTTCTTTTCACCATAGCTACACCTTTTGTTATGTAGGAGTTTCATAAGATTCTTGGATGAGAGGAAAGCTGCCCCATCAGCTTCAAAAGCCTCACAGGTCTATATTTTTTTTCTTCCCTATCGTTAATTCATGTAGTGGATGCCTGTCCATATTATACTTACCTTTGTTTTGCTATTATGTGAGGGCGCTATTCACTCTATGTTCATCAAGGATTTACTTTATCCTAAATGGTTAAGTATTAGGTGAACCAATTCCTTTCTTAGTGATGGAGCTTGGTTTGAATTGTTTCGTTGTTTGTTCATACAAGAAATAATTTAAGAGTTGCCAATGGCCAGATGCTCGGATGGCCCCCCTAATTGCTACATATTGCAAGCCCTGCTTGCAAAATTTGGTTGGCTGTCTTATTATGGGTTTCTTTTCAGCCAACTATAACCTTTATGGTAGTGGTTCTCGGTAAGGCTTTGTTTAGATGTAACTAATCCCGGTCCAGGTGGAATTCTCTGTCATAAAGATTTACATGTAATATATTCCGTGGTGTTTGACCTATTTATTTTGATGCCAAACTGATCTAATTTTTGGTCAGTTAGGAAAATCGGTACTAGTCAGCAAAGGTTGGTCAGTGTGGTCTTTTTTTGGCAGCCTGCTGTTATAGCTAGCAATTTACTGCTTATTTGTGTAGTTAAACTCTTGTTAGTTCAGTACTTGAAACTTTGCCAGGAGTACATAATTTAATTAGTTGTATGTATAGTCAGACTGCAATTTAATGGCTATGTATATAATACTGCTGAAGTTCTGATCACTGACAAGCTACGTGACTGAGTTGAACTCACCAAGTCAACATCACTCATGAGCTAATAATACCGAAAAAAAATACATTTCAGCTCTCTGAAGCCCTTGGAAAGCTATATGGCCAATCAAAGCAAGGGACTAGTAGCGACACCGTTGAACCGTCAAAACCTCGTGGTGGGGCCCATGAGAATTGCATAACGTACCGTCTTTAACTCCTCGTCTTTGTTTCGGTACTTCCAGTGATGTGCTCTCGTCTCCGACAGACTAATAATTTCTTCATATCGACAGGTGTATTGTACCCTTGATAAAAGGAAGCGACGGTACTATCAAACGATTCAGCACGTCAGGTTTATAGCTGAGCCTTCCAATTGCTTCCAGCTGTTTTGTCGTTCGAACATGTTTTGACATTACTTGCCACACATTTTACAGGATTGGACGGTAAAATCGTGGTATGGGATTTGGAAAATCACGTCAGCATTGCAAAATAGCTCGAGGGAAGGCTTCATTACCAATCAAATCAAGGGAACTTCTGTCATTACCCATCGTACTCAGGGGACCATTCTTGGCAGCGGGGTCCTGCAGGTTTTCAAGATCCAGGGCCAGCCAGGTAGATTGCTTTTTTATTTTGTGTTGTACCTGTACACAGAAACATTGCCTTAGCGTAGGGACAGCTTGCGTCTATCAAGTAGATTCATTTTTGGCGAGTAATTTTGTCCTTTGAATTGAGTCCATATATATTGTGTAACCTGTATAATTTTAGCTAGGTAGGCAATTGACGTGATCCTGCGTTCTTTCTTTCCGATGCCCTGTGTAAAATAACCACACGTGGAATTCATCCGCGAATGCTTTTACTGGGACTTGTGGACACCTCGTTTCTTCTGCTGCTGGTTCTTTGCAGGATGGAAAGACTCGCCTGACGGTTGAAATCTGTGACCAACGTGTAATCTAACAGTAGGGGGGCGGGCGTGAAACCAGGCCCTGCTGATATGTGGCCTGTGGGGACCTGCTCTTCTGGTGGATCCCCATACGCTAACATCCCACCGGGTCGGCCAGTTTTGGCAGCATGTGCATGAGCCATGAGCTGATGGTTCCGGTACTAGCTGCGTGCTCGCTTTGCTTTTGTTCTAAGATAAGAGTGAGCAAATCTAGCGGCTGCCGTGCAGATCACTTTCTGCTGTTTCGTGGTCACGCAACATGTGGGGCTGTGGTTAGACCGACTAGCTAGGAGACACATGGTGCATAACTGCATATGGTGTTCAAATGTCATCTCCTCGGCCCGAATCTGTTAGTCAATACATGGCTGTTCAGTTCGTAGTGTTGTGCCTACTTGCTGGATCAACTAGGCCATGCTTGTTAGAGGCAAGGGACTGTTTGGTTGTATTAGTACTAGTAGTTAGTGGGTGGGGATGTAAACAGTCTTGCTAATTAGTATTATCAAGTGGAGGTGCTAACAAGTTCATTATAGTTAGTGAAGGGGTGCTAGTAATTCATATACGCCTCGAACTATCCAATTACGTATTAGTAGACAGATCCAAACAGTCGCTACTGGAGGCCGCGGTTTTGCTGAGTGTTTTTACACTTGGCAAAAAGCCTTTTGCACTTGGCAAAGGCTTTGCCGAGTGTAGCACTCGACAAAGTCTCAGGCACTCGGCAAAGTACAGCTTTCTAGTAGTGAGTCTTTTGCCAAAGTTAGTAGTTTTTTTTATAGCTATTAGCTAGCTTACTATTAGCACTGGATCTAAACATATCCTAAAGTGGTGTCAAGCTACGACTACGTGGTTTGTTGTTAAAAATTTGGTTGTTTGGCCATGCCTATGTGCGGCATAGAGAAACAGAAGCAATCACTGAGGAGCTTCGGTAAGCATGGTGACAAATCCAGTAGCCCGTATGCACGTCATGAATGAGCTTGAAACAAGAAGCAATTGAACGATGATCCAAGTCACGCATGCATGGTTTCTCTTTCGGCCCTTTAATTTTTCCCAACATTACATATATTACATCAGCCAAATGGCAGTACATTTATCTGAATCGACATTTCCATGTATACATATAACATTAGACATGCATGATGAGAGTAGAGTAGATAGACAGAAAAACAACAATGGAGGCATCCATCCACCTCCATTTTCAGATTGGGCTCCCGAATCCAAAGCCCCAGGAGCAGCCACTGGCAGCAGCAGCAGCGGAGTGGTGGCTGGTCTCCCTGGCGCTCCACCTCCGGACGAGCTCCTTGTACTCCTCCTCCTCCACGATGGCGGCGCCGACCTTGCTCTTCCACGCCTGCTCCGCCTTGGCGAGCTCCATCTCGGCGTCCTTGATGAGCGAGTCCAGGTCCAGGCTCAGGTCCAGCCCGATATCCAGGCTCACGCCCAGCCCCTTCTCGATCTCCTTGCTCCTGGCCCAGTACCTGTCCTCCAGCATCGCCAGGAACTCGTCCTCCACCTTCTCCACGTCCGCCGCCGACGCCGCCTCCTCCGACGACAGCTCCATCAACAGGCACGCCTTCTCCTCCTCCTCCTCGTCCACCGTGCCCGGTGGCAGCGGCCGGCTCGACGACCTCGACGACACCCTGCTCTTCTCCATCGTGATGAACCCCGCGCCTTCCTCCTCGTCCACGTCCTCCGCCACGCCGAAGGCCGCCCCGGCCCCGCCGCCGCCGTCCATTTCGGCCACCGAGTTCTCGATGGTGATGAAGCCGCCACGGTCGGAGCGGATGGACGTGGCACGGCGCGCCAACCCGCCGGATGCCGCCACCTGCCGGTTGCGGAGGCAGCTCAGGTCCGGCAGGCAGGAGGCGTAGGAGCCTGCTTTGCTCTTGTTCTTCTTCTCCCTTGCTTGACCTAATTAAGTCACCAACGTTGTTTTTCTTCTTCTTCTTCTTTTAAAGCAAATAAGCAGAGTTGCATCGCCTAAACTAAACTAGTAGCTATATACAGTATATATGAACATAATGAAGTGCATCAAGCAATTGAGATCATACTCCTATTTATTATGTAGCAATTGATTCCATGTATATATACACATATACTTGATCCGTCCTCAAATATAAATGGTTTTGAGTTCCTCTAAGTCAAACTATTATAAGTTTAACCAAATTTATAGAAAAAAACTATAATATTTACGATATCAATAATAAGCTTAATTAGACACACTATGAAATGTATTATCATAATTTGCATCTTTAATGTGGGAATTTGTTACTACTCTTTGATTCTCTACATGAACTTGGTTCAATTGAGGATGGTCAAAAGCACTAGTATCAAAACTCACTAGAATGAAGAGTTCTTCCTACCATGCATGAACATATGGTATGTTTCTATATGATGAACACAACAGGTCATACTTGAAGAGAGCTAGTACAAACTAGCTTCTCATCAGGAAATTAAAGTTCATTCATTTTGATGAAATAATTTGTTTGCCTACCAATATTGCATGTATTTATAATACTATAGGTGTAAATAAAAAGCTTATAACGCATCATATCAGACTTTGGTGTCTAGTAACAATCATCACATACCATTGTTAGCAGCCCCATGGTTGTCCTCGTGCTGATCCATCACTCTGCAGTAGATGCTGACGGTGAGCACCGCACCGGCCGCCGCCCAGCGCAGGGCCGTCCCTTGGCACGTGCAACGTGTGCGACGGTACAGGGCCTCCACTTTTCAGGGGCCTCCAAATATATATAGAGTATATATACGTATATATGTATTGCTTGGTAAATAAGAACGTACAGCAGTAGCTTTGGCCTTTGGCCCATTAGCAAAGCGACGTGTACAACAATTGACCAAAGCCCAATAAACAATGGCTTGTTGCCCGGCCGCTGTTCAGTTGGCAATGTTGCCGATCCCAATTCCCCAACTGAATCAGATCGCAAATCTTAGGTCTCACGTACTACCTCTCGACGTCTACAATGACACAATTGAAGCAGAGCGAAGCTTTTCTAAGTTAAAGCTATTGAAGACTTATTTGCGTTCTACAATGACACAAGAAAGACTTAATGATTTGGCTATAATAGCACTTGAAGATGAACTGTTGGAGAAGATTGATTATGAGCATATTATTGAAGACTTCATTTCAAAGAACACTAAAAGAATGACGTTATTCAAGTAAAGATTATGTAATATAGGTATCATTCTTGAATCTTGATATATATTTTATTGCAACATACTGCATGCTTTATAATATCGTATATTTAGTTTTTTTTTCTAGACTAATAGGCCTCATTTCTTAGTATCGTACAGGGCCTCTAATTTTCCCGGGAAGGCCCTGCCCAGCGGGAAGCTGAGCGCCGCGGCGGCGACCTCGGCGAGGTCGACGGGGAACGCGCCAAGATCCCCGTTATCGGCGGGCGCGTCCAGGAGCGCTGCCCACACGGTGAAGCCCCGCAGCGTGGCGCCGCCGACGGTGAAGTGCTGCAGGAACACCTCGTCGAACGCGGCGGCGCCCCGCGCCACCCGGGCCGGCGCCGTGTGCTCTCCCTCGCCGCCCCTGCTCCGCCACCCCACCACCACCCCGCGGCCCTCCGCGGCCGGGGGCAGGCCGGTGACGTGCTGCACCTGCAGGCACACCACGCAGCGCTGGCGCCGCGGGCGGAGGGAGCCCAGCAGCCTGCACTTCCACTGGCCCAACGCGCCCCGGCTCTCGCCGCGGCCGCCGCCACCGTCCGGCGGGGAACCCCTGGACATGTGCAAGAGGTTGAGCTCCTCTGCCCCAAGTGAGGAGGAGCCATGGTGACGGCGGTGTTGTGGCGGCTTGCCTACCATATCTTGGCAATGGAAGCTATTATACCTTAATTATTCTCACTAGATCACCTGTGTTGGAGAAGAGGAGCTAGCTAGCTAGGTGCAAGCATATGAGCTAGCCTAGCTGGTGTGGAATTAGGTGTAAAACTAGAGGAGAGGAATGTGATGTATATACACACACGAAGGTACAACAAGGTGATGATTTGGGTAGCATGGCATGTCTCACTTCTCGCCATATGGCTGATGGGTGGTGTGGAAGCAGGATAGGGAGGGCTGCCCTAATGTGGATAGGGGGACTTTTTGGGTTAGGGTTTTGCAACATTCTCTGGAACTTATGTTTTACTATAACAAGAGGGGTGTACTTGTCAAGATCAGCTCTCAATCTTCAGAATGAAGGCAGCATGTTAGAGTAACTTGCAGTGAGAGGAAAAAGCTAACTAGAGAGCCTTGTAGAGACCTGCAAGTGGGGCTCTTGCATTGGTAGGTTAGTACAACACTTAAAATAAGCTTAGCATTTACTAAGCAAGAAATGACATGCAGAGACATTAATCCATGCAGTTTGCTTTAGCACTAGCTGCCCAGCTGGCTCCATCCTGATTCAACATATATAGTCATGAACTCATGATGAAGCTAGCTGACATTACTGTTACTGTTGGTGTATGCACATATATATGATGAAAACAGGAAACTGTTACTCATCTCTGGATATCAGTTGTACATTGCTCAAATTAAAATGGTTGTTTTTTCTAAACTACGTACTGCATGCTGCCATTTTTAGTGTAGATGTATAATTAGTTTAGAAAAGGAAAGCAGATAAAGATGGAGATCATGATCATAACAGAAGCAGAGGCCAACTAGTTTGGGTTGTGAGATCTTAACCACACTATCTGGAGGGAACAAAGTGCATGTGCCATGCAGAAAGTGAGGGTGATTAGCACAAGAATTATGCACAGTTAATTCTAAAAAATCTGTATGTAGTGTGGTCCTAACCCATTGGTGATGGTGAGTAATTATCTGATAATTAGTTTAAGCAGCAACTTACATGACAACTGACAACTGTCACAATGGCCAGTGACAAAGGTACATTTCCTTTTGCTGCCAGGGACCAGCAAGTACAAGACTTGCCACCGCCAAGAATAGATGCAGCCCTAGCTTGAAGGGCCATCCAACTCCATCCTTGGACTTAGCCAATTTTTTCCTCTTTCATGTACCTGCCTGCTGCTCACGTTCCCTGCTCTGATGTGATGTTTTCAAATGGGTTCATGTAGGGGGTCCAGTTCTAGGAAGGATTATATTACAAGACGATTTGATATATCCACTATTGCATGTACAGCACCTATCTTGAGGTGAGGGTGTGATATTGATACAAGCTAGGTGGATACACACTCCTACCAAGGTTTTGACTTGGTGTGTGTACAAGGAATTATAGCGAGTAAAAACTACATGTGCTCTTAGGAAAACTACCCTGTATGTATATAATTAAGCGAATTACTAGCAAAGGAGGAAGAGAGTTGCTTGTGCCTATAACTAGCTACTAGATACACAACACATTCCTTGGTATAGACTATTTTTCAGAGAGCTTTCATGCTGATTAACTACAATTTTGAGCTGGGTAATATTGTTATACAAAGCTAAGATGATGGGGAAATGAAGGACATTTAACTTATACTCCATCCATTTCTTTTAATTTTATAAGGCGTACTTGAATTTGTTAAAGCCTTACGAGCGGTATGCTTTGACCATTATTTTTTCACACACTATATACACTACTACGTACAAATGATTTTAGGAGGTAGTGCTCAAACATTAACGGAGGTGGGCACAAAATTCAACCGCCTCCGAAAATACTAGGCTATTTGTCGGTGCAGAAAGTGACCAACACGTAAATATTTATAGTTTTGCTGTACGTTGTGATCGAAGGTGGTCTAGCACTCAATGACACAGGGTTTATACTGGTTCAGGCAACGTGCCTTACGTCCAGTTTGAGTCGGTCGGTGACTTTATTCCTGAGCCCAGGTGCTCGAAGTTTACTGTGGGGTTACAAACGGAAGGGAGAAATATGGGGGGTACGAGAGGTCCGATCGGAGTCCGGTCTGAGGGACCGAGTGTGACAGGAGCTCCGCTATGCGCTAAGTGTTTGAGCGTGTGCTCGAGGTTTGAACCTAGTGGTTCTGCTATTGTATACTAGTGAACTTGATCGATCTATCTGTTGGGAGAGAGCGCATCCCCTTTTATAGATGAATGGGATGGCCTTACAAGTGAGAGGGAGAGAGTATGTATGCTACTAAGTCTTGTTGCCCACGCCGGCGGGTACAAGATAATGGTAGGCGCCCACAATACTTTTTAATGTCAGATGCACGTGGGAGGTTGCGTCGTCTTCTTCTGGTACGACAGACGTTGGTTCCTGACATATTGTTGATGCCGAGAGGCATGCAGGGGTTTTACCATGTTCGCCTGGTACGGTAAATGCCGGCGCCCACAACACTGTTGATGCCCAGAGGCATGTGGGGAGAGCCTTACCGTGTTTGTCTGGTATGGGAGTTGATGGCGCTCACAACACTGTAGGGAAAATGTCGGCACCTACAACACTGCTTGTATTCTATCATGCTAGGTAGGTCGCAGGGTACTGTCCTGCAGGTGTACAGGGTACGTTCCTTGGTATTGCGGTTGACTTGAGTGCCCTGCCTTACTTTCTTCGTCTGTTTCCTAGTCCTTACCGAGCTGGCGTCCTCGGTCAGTTGGTCCCAGTCGGCTCAGATTGCGCCAGTTGGAGAAGAGCAGTGAGCAGCGGTTTGGCGCATCCCTAGTCGGAGACGCGGGTCGGAGTCGAAAGTGGTGTTTGGCTAGGCCTTCCGGTCGGAGAGACCGTTCGGAGGCGGGCCAGAGTCGGAGACAAGGCCTTCCGGTCGGAGAGGCGGGCCAGAGTCGGAAGCGGGCGCCGTTCCTTCTCGGCCAGGCCTTCCAGTCTGAGATTGGATTGTCCTTTTGGCCTATTGTTTAGGTGTTTGGGCCGGCTCATGAGTTGCGCGTTGTTCGCAATGTTGTCTGCTGGGCCGAGCCTTCGTTGGAAAGCCGGTCGATGAGGGACTCCGAGTTTATGAACCCGACAGGAGCCCCTGAGCGCCCTGTCGATTCGGGTAGAATCGTCTGGGGGATTTCTGTCTTGACGGCGGGTGCGCGCGAGCGCACCAGCGGGTGTAGCCCCCGAGCCCCCGGGCTATTCGGGTAGAATCGTTTGGGGGGTTTTCGTGTTGCCAGCGGGGGAAGTTTCGACGCACCCACGGGTGTAGCCTCCGAGCCCCCAGGCGATTCGGGTAGGATCGCCTGGGTGTTTTTTTGTCAGCGGGCGTGTGCGCGTGCATTTTAGTTGAGACAGAGTCATCAACCAAGGTGTCGTGCGTAGCCGAGGTGGTTTTTTAGGGATCGGGCAAGATGGAGCTCACGGATCCTGGTGTCGGGCGTAGCCGAGGGATCGGTCGAGGCAGACTCATGGACCCATCGTGCGCGGTCGAGGCGGTTGTTTAGGGATCGGGCGAGATGGAGCTCGAGGATCTTGGCATCGGGTGCAGCTGAGGGATCGGTCGAGGTGGACTTGTGGACCCGTCGTGCGCGATCGAGGCTATTGTTTTTAGGAATCGGGCGAGACAGAGCTCGCGGATCCTGGCGTCGGGCGCACGCGTCGGACGCACGCGTCGGACGCAGCCGAGGCAGTTGTTTAGGGATCGAGCGAGACGGAGCTCATGGATCCTGGCATCAGGCGCAGTCAAGGGATCGGTCGAGGCAGACTCGTGGACCCATTGTGCGTGGCCGAGGCAGTTGTTTTTAGGGATCGGGCGAGACGGAGCTCGTGGATCTTGGTGTCGGGCGCACGCGTCGGACATAGCTGAGGCAGTTTTGGTGTCTTGAGCCCCTGAGCCCTGATAGGCTTGATAGGGGTCGGTTGAGTTTTGTGCGTTACTCCGTCCTCAGTTTCTCACAACTGGAGGGGCTGAGCTAACATCGCTTGCCTCGATGGCTCGGGCTCGAGTGACGCGCTCGGTGAGCTCGCTAACGGGTATGATCGAGTGGAATCTGGGTCCATCGTTCATGATGGGGTCGGCATAGCCCTCTTGTGATATTCCACTGCTCCTTAACCTACAACCCGGTAGATGCCTAGGTTGTTTCAAAGACTGACCCGGGTGGCCTGCTAGCCTCCCCTCGATGGAGATTTTGTGGGCTTGGCGAGGTTTAGGATTGAACGAGAAGGTTGAGATGACCATGTCCGCTTCGGGGCGGACTGGGCAAGGGCCGCTTGGGGCTCATCTGCATTTTCTCCCCTAGCTCTGTTTGACACGAGGCGGCCTCAAGCCCTTTGTGGGCCGGCCTTCGAACCCCAGTCGGTCGTTGCTCATGTTTAAATGAGGCAACTGCCGCTTCGTGATGCAACACGGAGCGTTGTGATGCATTTAACCGCATATGCGATGCCTTAGCCCCCGAGCCCTTGGGTGATTCGGGTAGAATCATCCGGGGGGCGCGGGTGCATGGAATGAATGCATGTATGGATGTATGAATGATTATATAAAGAAATAGTGGGGGTTGGTAATGTTACCTTGATGACTCGAGTGACGGGGTTTGAAGAGCTCCAATCGAAAATGTCCGACCGGGATCCGTGCTCGTCGTTCGTGACGGAGTCGGCATGGCCCACATGGGGCGTCCCTTTGCTCCTTACATGTCTCTCTATGTTTGCCTGAGCTGTTCGATTAGACTTAGGAAGCCTGTTGGTCTCTCCTGGCGAAGATCCCATTGTTTGGGTCTTTCCAAGTCCCGCCTAGGAAGGCGGAGGGCCACCTGCGCGCTGTGGCGCCTTGTTTCTTGCGTCCAGCGTGCAGTAGCGGCGGGCCATGCCTGTCTCTCTCTCTATCTATCTGCGCTCCTTACCTGTCTCTCTGCGCTTCAGAAGCTCGTGCGGCATGGCCTTGACGGGGTGCGGGTGTTCCACACCCTCTTCCGCCGTCGGGTCGCTCCGCTAGCGGAGAGGACGC